TGTCATCAAAACCCAAAAAAAGGAGTTTGCTGCCTTGTAGAACAGAACTTGTCCTGCATTTTCAAATTTGGGAATTCTAATTCCTATAATTTTTTTCGATTGGTAATAAACCTGATTTCTTTAAGATAAAGTATGTAAAATAATTAAAAAAAAGAAGGGGATAAGAAGGCCTCTGATGAAGCTTGATTTATAAAACTCTAAGTACAAAGTGACACACCAAAAAGTAACCTTTACACTTGTGTGTCAATATATTAACTCTTCCAACTTGGAGCCCAAATCAGATTGAATCATATGAAGCTGAAGTTTTTGTGGGCCATGGCATTGTCCATGATGAATGAAGTAACGTCTATTTTATATTCTGTGCAAGTGATGTGATTGGCCTTTAAAAAAGATTTGAATTTCTTTTCTTCTGTATACCTGATAATGTTGCAAAAGGGGTAATTTTCTACAGGATATTTTCCTTTTCTTTGAATAGGATTGCTGGATACAGTTGAAGCAGGAGGGTCACATAGTTGGGTAAACTATAGTGAAGTACTTAAGTCTAGATATATAAAATAGTTACCTGTATATGACTTTAAGCCTTGCATATAAGAAACATGGACTTCTTAAATCAACCTTACATGCGAAGGTGTATCTTCTCCAATGCCACCAATCATAAAAGGCTTTAACTCTTGGAGGCATTGTACCCGTGACTTAAAACAAACCTGCAGTGGCTTCTGCCATTCATCTGATGAGTTTGTTATAAAATGACTGAACTTTGAATAAGCTTCCTTAATAGTATTACTATATCAGAAAGGGCCTGCACCCAATTATACCAAATTTACAAGATTGTTCTGTGGTTCATGTACAAGATGTACATCTGATGATTCTTATCCCCTTTAGTAGATGTAAAATTATACCACTTGAACTATTTAAAAATGAGAAAAGTTTATTCCAAAATCGACCAAGATAGACAGTTAAAAATAGATGAGGGCTCAACTTTCTCAATTACAACCAGCTCTTTGTGATTTTTTCCTTAAAACAATGCATTGATTCCTTTGCTTTCACAAGCTCCAACAAATGGCTAGATGTGCTGAATTTTGTGTTATGTGGTCCATTGGGCACAACCCCAAAATTGGTCTTACATCTACAAGAGCTGAGAGGTACTTGGGGAACCTGTTATTTCCTAGAAAAGCTAATGAAATAGGACCTGGCATTTCCTAGTTCTTATCCGGGTTTCTTGATGGGTATTAAGCAATTACCTAAACAAGCTTGGGATCTGATTATTGAGTTTGTGGATAGGCATTAGGTAGGTTAGAAGTTCATTTTTTATCATTTGGCTGCTGAGCCACCCTGATGAAAAGTGCCATGGAAGGTATTCTGGTTTATTTCTTGTTCCTCTTTGATACCTTCTCTGTTGCAATGAAGCTTGAAAAGATTCAAAGGGAGTTCTTGTGGAATGGCAGTGTAGATAAAAGAAATATCCTTTGGGTAAATAGAAATTGGTTTCTTAACCCAAGATTCTTGGTGGATTGTCTTCTGAAAGAATGAGCATAATGAATAAAGCTCTTCTTTGTGTATGGCTTTAGAGATTCCTAGAAGAAGAAGCCACTTTTGGGAAACTTTCAACCCATATGTGCTTTTTACGTGAATCAAAATTTTTTGAGAAGAGGTAATATGTATATTCATTCAAAAAGCAAAAAAAGTGGGGATTTACAAACAAGCACAAAAAGAACAAAAACAGCCTAAGGACCACCCATATTACATAGGCATTGTGTTTACACTATACAGAAAATTCCTATCCACCCAAATGACAAGGAGAGAAGGGAGGAGACTTCTTGAGAATCAAATGTCTGAAAGGGCTCTATGGAAGTTGAAATTAAAGGATGGACTTTGATTGTCTCTAGACTTCTAGAGATTACAGAAGACACCTGAATGTCCTTGTCCAAGGCTAGGCTTTAGAGATTAGGGTAGGTAACATATAGAGGTTGAGAACCCCGCCAAATATCATTAAAGGGCAAAAGAGAGAAAGAGTTTGCATAATACCTTTCCACAGATTAGAAAAGAAGAACCCATTCGGATCTGAGTTGCTGTCTCACCTGTTATTGTTCCTTCCATGTTTGCTTCTGATGATGGAGGCCCAGAGGTTGTCTTTTTTTTTTGATAAGTAAAGAGTCATATTCCACTAATTCAAAGATCCGTTACATGAATATCCCCTTAGAGAGGCGCGAGGTGCTGCCTCTCCATACAGAAAACACAAAAACTACATCAAAAAGTGCATGACTGTTACAAAAGACAAATTACAGTTGCACCCAAAATAATGTTTCCTTGTTTGTCCCTTGTTTTGCCAAGACATCAGCGAATGCATTAGCTGATCTCCCAACCCACTGTACTGTTACAGACATATTCCTTGTCAGCCATTTGAATTTCTTTATCTCATTCTTGTAGTCCCACGTGACATTCTCTGGATTATTTAACCAGTTCACCACTGTCTTAGAGTCCCCTTCAACCAGAAGCTGCTCCACACCCATTTCTTTTTTTGCAAGAATTATTCCTTGTATTGCAGCTAACAGCTCTGCCTGAATAGAGTTACCAACACCTAAAGGGCCAGAGTATAGTAGGACAGCCTCTCTAGCCTCATTCCTCAGTACACCTCCCAAACCCGAGGGACCCGGGTTGCCCTGGTTACTTCCATCAAAATTCAGCTTCAAAGAACCGTGAGGAGGGGGGATCCAACTTGTCATTACCTTTATCTTTGAGGAGGAAAAACTTGCTATCGATAACCAATCCCTCCAACAGTTAGTAAAGGAGAAATGATCAAACAAATCCAGAGTCTTTAACCAATGTATTGTCCTATACAAAATGCAGTCCTTCAAGGCCTGACTGCTTCTCCCCTTTTCTTGGAAGATCCTGGCATTCCTTTCTTCCCAAACTGTCCATAACAAGGCTGCTCGTGCACACCTCCACAGTTTCCTTCCTCTTTTATGGGGTCAATAGAATATAGAAGGGTTAAAGAATGTACTTACTTCTGTTGGCATATCCCATCTACACCTAAACAATGATAGAAGCCAAATCCAGAGCTCTGCAGTGACACTACAAGATAAAAATAAGTGATGACAGTCCTCACCATGAGATCTGCAAAGAGTGCACCAGTTTGGAGAAATACATAAGAAGGGTCTTCTCTTTTGTAGGTTATCCATCGTGCTTACTTTACCATGCCACACTTCCCAACACAAAGCCATAACTTTGGGGGGAACTGGTCTACACCAGACTTTGGAAGGGAAACTTTGTTGAGAGGAGGTTTGGCACAGGAAATAAAAAATGGAACCACAAGAAAAAGACCCATTAGGGTGAATGGCCCAGAGGCTGTCTTGCTCCAAGTGAAACCGCCATAAGCCTTTTCTGAGTAAAGCAACATTCTTTTCTAACAGGTGACCAAGACATTCAGTTTGCAGACCACCTCCGAATTAACTAAGTTGCTCTTGCAGACCCCTCCCCCTCGGGATCATTCTTTTGTTCCTTGTTTTTTTAAAACTGTAGCTCAGCAATATGCTCCCCTTGGTATGCCTTTCCCTGTTAAAGAGATATGGTGCAAGCCTATTCCTCCTCGGGTTGGGAGTTTTTGTTGGGAAACTTTCATAGAAAGAATCAACACAAGTGATCTACTTCAAAGAAGGAGACCCAATACTTGTTTATCCCCGCACAGGTGCACTCTTTGCAAAGCTGATGGGGAAACCGGGTACCACCTCTTAGTGTCTTGGCTTTATGCAAAAACTGTATGGGAATGGGCTTTCTCCCTTTTCGGGTGTAGTTGGAAGCCCCCAATGAATGTACAAAGCCTGTTTTCTCCATCTTTCTTCAGCTGGTCAGTGAAAAGAGGTAGGATCATGTGGAGGTGTATTAGGGCTGCTGTATGCTGGACTCTTTGGGAAGAAAGAAATTCAAGAATTTTCTCAGAATGGGAGAGAAGTATTGAGAACTTAATAGAGTTGATCCATATAAGGGTGGCACAATGATTGAAATCCTTGGACCTATTCACAGACTTTACCTTGGATGATCTGTTGAGAAGCTGTAAAGAGATAGAAAATTCTGCCCAGATTAAGAGGGTCACAAGTCCTTGGATCTCTCCCCCCATTGGTTTCATAAAACTGAATTTCGATGGCAGTAGCATTGGGAATCTAGGACAGTCAAGTATTGGGGGAGTTTTCAGGAATGAGGAAGGGCATACTCAAGCCCAAGGTTTAAAATATCGATACAGGCTGATACACCGGTAGTGGCATATTGGCCTGTATCGAAACTCGCTCACCTTTTTTTTCTTTGAAACTGGTTTGGAGGGGTCGTTCTAAGGCTGGTCTATCCCCTGAACCAAGTCACACCCCGATATGACCCCTGTAGGGGCGTATCGTTAAGCCAATGATATGCTCGATATGAGGCGTATTGTATCGAAATTTTGAACCTTGCTCAAGCCCAATTGGAGAGGCTGATTCTCTCAGGGCTGAGATATCTGTTCCTTCTAGAGGGAATCCAAAGAGCAAGAGATTTGAACATTAGTGGCTGATAATTGAAGGTGACTCGCAGGTGGTGGTAAGATGGTTAAAGGAAGATGAGCCTGGAATGTGGAACTACAACAACGAAAGGAAAAAGTTCAAATGCAGCGGCTAAGGATATTGAGATAAAATACAGTTGGGTGAAGAGAATTACTAATTGAAAAAGATCACCTTCCTATTGTATTCTTTTTTCCCTTTCCTAATGAATTTTTATTTTTATCCTTCAAGAAGAAAAAGAGAGAGAGAACTGCTAATTCCTTTGCTGATGGGCTAGCCAGGCAAGGGGTGAATAGGGATTCTTTGTTTTGGGCTTTTTTCTAATACTGTATTTTTACTTTGCTTGTGGGGGAGTTAAGACAGTTTACCTCCCTCTGGTTGTATGTATTCTCCTTTTAATTTAAGTTCAATGAAGCTACTTGTTATTGATAAAAAAAAAAGACTAAATTCCCTTCTTTCATCCCCCACCTTCCAAAGGAAGTCATGATGAAGCTTCTCAAGACGATTCCTCACTTTGGCTGGTGCTATATAAACAGAAAGGAAAAATATGGGCTGGCTAGAGAGAGAGAGAGGCTTTGATGAGAGCGAGTCTGCCCCCTTTCGAAAGACGGTTCCTCTTCTAGGAGTCCAATCTTCCTCTCACATTTTTCAAGCGTCAGATCCCAACCCCAACCAGAGGCAAGCCAAGGTACTTTATTGGCCATTTTGCAACCCAAAGCTTCTTTAATATTATCCAATTTCCTTTGGGAAACATCATTGACGCACATCTTGTTTACTAAACTCCTGCTTGTTTCTGATATTGGGACCATTTATTTTCTATGTTTTGTACCAGTGCCCAGCTTCAAAGGAGATTGATAGCCTATTTCATCCTTCATTCTTCTTCCCACAGAGAAAAGGGGGAAAAACCCCATAGAGATGTGCAAAAACTGCAATCTATGAACAGTATGGGAGAATAGATAGGTGAGTATTTTTTATATTTTATTAGTTGAAGATAGATTTAGGAGACACTATTCGAGTTCATCTCTATTTGGGAGTCACAATGGTCTGTATATTGGATTTTCTCAACATATTCTACAAATGTGTGTGGATGAAGGGAGCTTTTTTCTCATCTCATTGCATCACAATAACATCATAAAGGGTGGCAATCTGTGGTATCACCATCATCATCAACAAGAAAGAACGCAAGAGTTCATGGCTGGTCCCTTACTATCTGTTTTTTAATGAGAAAAAACTGACTATATCAAGTTGAATTTTGATGGGTGCAGTCTTGACAATAATGGTAGTTCAAGAATTTGTGGAGCTTTCAGAAACCATTAAGGTGGTATCCTAATGATTTACTGAGGCTCTATTGTGGCTAGGGATGACAATTTTCTCCATCCTCGCCAGGTACCTAACTTCCCCAACTTGATGGGGTCGGGGATGGGGGTGGGGATTAATAGGGATCCCCAACCGGGGTTGGGGTCAGGGATGGGAAATGAAGTCCTCGCTCTGCCCCGACCCCAATTATATATATATATATATATTAAATACTATTCTTTTAAATATATACTATTTTATTTATATATGATATTAGTCATATTATATATATCAAAATATATTTAAAATATTATTTATATCTTAAAATTTTCTTTTACTTTAAGTAAATTTATTTATCAAAAAATAATGTTAATTAAAAAATTCGGGGATTCAGGTCCCCACGGGCAACCTGGCTCCATCGGAGATCAGGGGGATGGAGGACAACTTTTAACCCCGGCGGGGATCGGGGATGGGGAATATGATCCCCACCCTGAACCTCTCTCGTTGCCATTCCTAATTGTGGCGTAAAATGAATCTGCTTTTGATTCCCTTTTCTCAATATGTAGTAGGTTTACATGTCTGATGTGGACTGGGTCATTGTACAGATGACAAATTGTTGTTATTTCGGTTATGTCATCCTTCAATGTGGCTATAAAATGGTTTGATTTCTGTTGTGAGAAGAATCCATAGTCATTTCATATGACTAAACTGTAGTTATGTTGGCTTTGCCATCCTTTGATGTGGCTATAAAATGGTTTTCGTGTTAGAAAAGAATCCATATTATCTTTTTTAGAGAAAAATACATCATTTTCAATTTAGATTGTAGAAGAATCTCATCAAGGGGCTTAATGGAAAATGACTCAACAGAATGGGTGAGGACTGCTAATAGCTTGGCAGATAGCTTACCCAAGCAAGGGGTACATAGAACACATATGTTTTGGGCTCAAATGTAGTACTGATTTGGGACAGTTTCTATAGCTGGTTCCTTTCACAATTTCTTGTTGTAATCATGTTTCTTACATAATTAATGAAAATTTTTCTGTGTTGCTGACCCAAAAAAAAAGAGGGGTTCTCTTATCTACTTCATGAGATTCCTAACCACTAAGATTTTGTGACAATGCCACATGTTCTTTGTGGGAAGCTTCTTTTTATCTTCAATGGAGAGTTAAAATGAAGTTGGATCCACTGGCATAAAAGCCTTTGCCTGCAGGCCCAAGAGTCCAAGACCAAGAAGCCCATCAGTTAAACTCAAGGTCCATTAGCTTATGCCCTTTTCAGCAAGCTTGTTTGAGGTTGAGGCTTAGATGTCCATAATCCATATGGGCCCCAGTGGAATCTTCTTAAGATCTCCAACATCCTACGAGATCTGCAAGATCATTGAGAAATTTAACACAACCTTTACTTGTGGTATTTTTTATTTGTTTCTAATGTTAAGATCATTAAGTATTCTTATGATTTCAAGGTGTTGTCAATATTTTGGACCTTACTGGATGCTTGTATCTTGGCTAAAGAGAAGCGAGTATGCTGACATAGATGAACTTGATTAGTTCCGTTAATGAAATAAATTTATGGAGTATTATTTCACATACCCTTTTTGTGAATTTTACATTATATATCCTTGTTGTGTGAAGGTTAGCCATTGGGTTCTGTCATTACCATGTTTGAATTTTTTGTTTGTTTCAAATGTTCTGCAACATTTCCTAATTTGGTTTTCATTTGTATTATTAACAGAGACAGGATAATGGCATCAGAATTTGTTTCTAATGTTAAGAGCATTAAGTATTCTTATGATTTCAAGGTGTTGTCAATATTTTGGACCTTACTGGATGCTTGTATCTTGGCTAAAGAGAAGCGAGTATGCTGACATAGATGAACTTGATTCTTTCCAGTTAATGAAATAAATTTATGGAGTATTATTTCACATGCCCTTTTTGTGAATATTACATTATATATCCTTGTTGTGTGAAGGTTAGCCATTGGGTTCTGTCATTACCATGTTTGAGTTTTGGGTTTGTTTTAAATGTTCTGCAACATTTCCTAATTTGGTTTTTATTTGTATTGTTAACAGAGATAGGATAGTGGCATCAGAATTTGCTTTTGTTAGCTATGAGGTTAGCCAAAAGAGAAATGCATGGCGAGCTTGATTTGATGTTCTGGAACCCTGTTATGCAGAACTACTTTGTCGGAACTAGGGATCATAAATGGTGGCCTTGTTGGTCGCAACCGGCATTTTATTTGCTTTTGAAGGGAAGAACCTATGTGACCATGAGTGTAGGAGGTTCAAGGAATGATTGGTTGACAATATAAAAAACTGTGTATATTCTGTGTAATTATTACTCAACTATCAGTCTCCCTTCCTGTTGATTTTTTTTTTTTTTAATTGTATGATGACTAAATATTCAGAGATAAAAAAAATGCTTTGGGTTGGAAAGAGAGTGATTCCCACTCCATCAGTCCATCCGAGCAGAGAAGTAATCACCACTTTGACTTTAGTACTTGTTTTAACAACAAATTGTCTATAATGATTTGCAAATGGTTAAAGCCTATGAAGATCGATGAGATTTGAAGTTCAGTTTTTTCCAAGGATTGGGTATTGTATTGGATAAATCGGATACGGATATGGATATGTTTTGAAAATGCAAAAGTTATAGAAATGTTTGGATATGCTAGGGAAATGTATATAAATTACATAAATAGATTAATAATACTAAACCAAAAGTTGAATCATCTATGAATAATATATAAACACATGAGAAATTCAAGGCATATTTTAATAGGTTATTTAAACATCGTAGAATAATTATCACTTTTTCAATTTTTATTAATTTTTGGGAATATTTATTAATTTAGTATTTTTATTTAAATAACAACTCTTTTTTAAATAATAAATATGTTTTCAACTTTAACATATAATGCTATTATTTTACATGTAATTGGAAAATAAAACAAATAAATCATTTAAGGTATATAAAATAAATTATTTTTAATTTTCAATTTTTACTAAATTTTTTGGGGAAATTAAATCTTAAGTTATTCATTTCAGTTTTTATAATTGTAATTTTCTGTTTTTCATTAATTTTGTTGAGAAAATTTATTTATTTAGTATTTTATATAATAACTCTATTTTTTAAATAATAACTATGTTTTCATTTTGAACATATAATTATGTGTAAAATAAAATATATAAATCATCTAAGGTAGATGAAATATATTATTTTTATAATTTTGTTTTATTAATTATTTAGAAAAAATAAATCTTAAATTATTTATTTCAGTTTTCATAATACTATTTTTAATTTTTATTAAAGATGAAAAACAATCCGAAGGTAGTCAATGTATAGATTTGTCAAACTAGGCACAAATATGCCTCTATATTATGTATCAGATCTTATCCACTGATATAGTGCGGCATGACCTGATACGGAGGCATATCGTGCTGATATGCACGACTCGTGGGATATGTATCAAGTCGTGGCATATCTCGTGTCCATGACCATGGATATGAATATGATACACCTCGTATTAGGAGTATTGCATCGATACCTTAATCCTTGGTTTTTCTATTGTAATTGTGTTCTTGTGAATACAAAGGAGAAAGAAGTAAAGAGAACCCAACACTTTGATAGAATGGTGAAATGGAAAAGGATAATGAAGACTGGTTTATAGCAAGGTTTTTAAAACCGAATTGGACAATGAACCAATCAGGGGTTCGGTTACTAGGTTGAATGGTTTGACCGCTCGAACCGAATGAACGACTCCCGTTCTAACAAAAAACTAAAAAATGGCCAAAACCGTTGGACAATTCGAATGGTTCGATCGTCCGGGTTAGCGGTTTATTAACCAAATCAACGGCTTCTAGCAAAATAACGGTTCTGGGGTAAAACGGAATCGATTATCTGATCGGTTCATGGTTTTTTCGGTCTGATTGTCCGGTCCGGTCTGATTTTGAAAATCATGGTTTATAGTTTTATAATGAGAAACCAGTGGTGGAAAATCTCTTCAAACTAAGCTTTTTTAAAGTCCAGTTGAATAATTTTTGAAATTAAATATCTTCAAGGTGAAGTCTTGAATCTTGATCAGTCGGCAAAGCCAAGATGTTGGATGAAATTGAGAGTGAATTCATCGGAAGGTCCGGAACCTTGGTCTGGCATCCAATGTTGTTGTGGAGGAAGGTGTCACTGAAGCTTGATTCCAAGGCCATTTCAAAGTGGTGGGGAATGACTATCTTGTTGAGGGAGAAAGATTTAAGTTTGGTTCAGGTGAAGCATTGGGGCTGGGCGTTGCATTGTTTGGGCCCCAAGTTAAGCTTTCAAGGCCCTTTTCATGGTTCTGAGTGTTAGACAGTGTATGCCCTTAACTCCAATCAGATTGATGTTTGGTGCATTTATTGTAAATGACTAATAGTACATAATTGATTTGTGTTATATATGATGTGTTTCTGTGTAATACCCTTAAACTAGATACATATGAGACTCGTGTTAGTTTAGAATATTCACAATTGTTGGATAAACCTGGGGAGGTTTATCCTACCAAGGCTGACACTAATGTACTGTCAAGTGGGTTGGGTGGTTTGTCTCAACTGCTAGGGTGAGACCTGAAGCACATGTAGTGTGGGTTTACTTGAAACTCAGAACCGGACCGTTTTCTAGTTATGCCCTGGACCTTGGAGACAGATGGGAAAAACTGAAAAAGTTACACTTGACCCCTAGACTCGATTATAGTACCGCATTAGGTGTTGGATTGGGCTGTCTTTGATATGCCAATCAATGAGATCCTTAAGGGGGGTCAAAACCTGGGTATTTTGGGGCAGTCCGAGAATTCACCTGAGTGGGTGATCATAGTTACAAGATCAACCCCTTTGTCAGACAAAGTGAATGATCGAGGAATGCCCTCTCTCTGATGGAAACCTAAACTATCAGCAGTTGATTTCAAATTTGTTGAGATTTGTTTTTGCAAAATAGATTTATATAGAAATATACATATATATTATAGTTTCACAAAATGTTTGCAAAATGTTTTAATTCCCGGGATCCATGTGAGTAGAGAGTGCAACACTGTACCTTGCAGCCGAGGGAGAGGTCCTCTCTTGTCGAGTAGTATTTGATCATTATGGGCTGAGAGGTTAAGTGTAAGACCATTGAGAGTTATACATGATGGGCTAATGTTGCATCTGCCCACAATCCTTAGGCCTTAATAAGGTGGGTGGACCCAATGACTATTTAGTGTAAATGTTGGGCCCATTAAAAGCCCATATTGATGGACTCAGGGGTTCACTGTGTTTTGCAGTGAATTTTGCTAGGGTTTGTAACAAAGGCTGGATTGAACCCATGTGGATGATGTATAGATCAATGCTAGAGTTCCACACCATACAAAAAGAGCCAAACTAGCCAAAATTTAAAGGGTAAAGTGAGCACTGTGGCTTAATAGGCGTAAGGCCCATTTCGAATTGGGCTTAAGTGATTTAATTAAATGGGCGAATTTGGGTTTATAACCTGATTAGGATTAGTAGTTGGATAAGATAAGTCTTATCCAACTTGAGAGTGTAGATCCAAATATTAGATTTGGATCAGGAAACTCATTCCTAATTGGATTAGGAAGCTGATCCAGAGAAGGTTATAAATGAGGGGGGGAATTCTATAGAGAGATCACTTCTTCTCTGCAATCTTTTTCTTCCTCTTCTCTTGCTACCTTGCCTAGTTTGATCTCCACCTCTTGGAGTGATCAAGAACTACTTTTGATATTGTTTCTTGGTGAAGAAACAATATGAAGTCGTGCTTATACAACCCTACACGATTCTTGCTGAAAAATCACAGGTTCTTGCTGATCCTGTTTCAACATTCGTTGTGTCATCTTTAGTGGAGGTGGATTTGGTAACCTCTTTGGGTGTGAACACCTATGTTGGGAGTTTTACATTGATTCCATATCAAGTACTACCCTCTCCCTAATCTTGGTTTCAGATTTGGTCAAGTTTGTTTCAAGAACGAATGCTTTTTTCTAAATCGGGGAATAGGATTCTCGGATAGGAGAATTTTTTTTGTTGAAATTTTGCCTAGCCACCCTTCATGGTTTGGCCATCCATATGATGGATCTCCCATCCCTTCACCGAGGGATGTATTTCTAGTGAGACGTGGAATAATTAATTTGTAGTTGAATCGATTCTTGAGCTGACAAAAGTTGAAGCATTGTTCATTTGAGTGGGTGATTGGTTTGGGCTTGATGTATCTGCACCCGCACATCCCAATCGTGTATTGGGAACATCTTCCAATGACAATGACAAGAGATGTTCCCATTGCACGCTGAGATGTGCATGTGGGGCGCTGTTCGACGCCAATGTGAACTCGGACTTTACAGGTGCAATGGTGGGGTGGGATTTGGCAGAGTATTTGGCACTAAGGCCCTGTTTGCTTTTTGATAAGTTGTTTATCCGGGTAAATGCAATATTTTGGTAAGTTTTTCTGCATTTAGTCATGTTCTTTTATTTCCCATGTAAATAAGGCAATGATCATTTTAACCATAAAAATCCATTATTAAAAGAGTCATTTTTGTCCCATTCAAGTGTTGACAACTTTCCTAGAAAATAAACTTTCCCTAACCCCCACATAAATCTTAAAAAAGAACATGAGATTCTTGGTCAATGGGAACCAAAATCCCATTAAATAATTGTCCTCTCTCTCAAAATCCAAAAAAAGAACGCCTGCTAAATGAGACTGCTCAAGTGCTCATAGGGATGATGTCCTGGGCCGAGTTTACAAGTGTATGTGCAAGAGTGACCAAAGGATATATTTAAACACCCCCATATTCCGCAATGATATTTACTTCTTTGTGTGTAATTTTTTTTTAGAAAATACTTCTTTCTATTGAGAGTGTTGTTTGTAAGATGATTTTATAAATACTAAAGAAATTTGTGTATTGGTTAGTAACTAAGGGGGTGTTCTATAGCATAGATGAGAAATTGGGTAGTGTGTTTTCATTCACACTACCAGTGTGGTGTGGGTGAAAACAAACCACACCCCAACAAGGTAGTTGTTTTACACTGTGGACAAAAATGTGTGGATTGATTCACACTACACCTCCATAGGTGTTCTACAAGGTTGGAATATTTCAGTTTGTACATTGTATTTGATTCCCTGCATCTCAACTACAACATTTAAGATAATCTATGTCATTAATCATTAAAAAAACAATATATATATTTTTTTGTAATATACACAATAGAAAAGTATTAGTAAATTGCTAGGAATTTTAATAATTAATAAAAATAATATAATGATATTAATATTAATTCAAAATGAGTAATAATATTAATGATAATTGATAATATTAACAACAATTTTAATAATATTTAATAATAATTAAAAATATCAATAACAATTAATATTAATAAAAATAATATTTAAAACTTAATAATTAATAAAATAATATTAATATTAATTAAAAAACATGAGTAGTAGTGGCAAGTGGTTCAGATAGAGAAGAGTAATATAGCATGCGA